GGTGCGAACCGGCTCGAATTGCTCGAAGGCCTTCGGAGAAAGTAGTTCAGTGATCAAGATTCTTCGAAGAGCCTTCCACCTGGGTCCGTAGGGCGAGAAAATGACGGAATGAGCATCGTAAGACACGACTCGAATGGCTTCGGTTATGGTCCGACTAGAGAACATGCCTTCCTTTTCCTTGAGGATTTCGGATGCCATTTCGGGTGAGGATACCACTATGGCTGGCTTTATGCCCATCTTCAGACAGAAAAGGGGGCCATATATTTTGGCAAGGTGAAAGAAATCTTCGTGGAGACGATGGCTGAGATGCGGAAGGCTTCCGAGGATGGGCCAACCAACAGGTCCCGGTGGTGCATTCTTCCAATTTTTAGAGCGACCACCTAGGAGGATAGGGATAAGAAAATAGGAAGCAATAGACATTGTTACTGCTAGGACCATCATGGAGCCAGAAATAAGGGAAGAAAAATGGGCACTCATGCTTAAGATGGAAGAATGCAACAAATCCATAATGGCAGCTTCTTTCTTCCCCTTGGCCTCTAACTACTTACGGAGGAGGAAGAGCTGTGTTGGGCTGCTCTCCCTCTGTACTACTTTATATACTTTTGCAAGTCTTGGCCCGGCTTAATAAATGCTACAACTAGACAGTGCGTACGCGTTACGAAAATGAATCGGCTAAATTATTCCCAAGTTTTTTAGGATTTCGTCTTAATTCATCTTAGATACATTAGTGTTAAGAATGGATATTAAGGAGTGTTTGAAAATAACTAAACTACCCATAATCCTAAAACACCAAAACGTTTCCTTCCACTCAAAAAAGAAAAAGCATCACATGCTTACTGATCATCTTATCATTAGATAAAAACTAGGAAAATCTTTCTATCTAGGCATTGGAATTTTGCAAACGCAAATTAAGCACAAGCATTGCCAAGTCATGAGCCACGTATGTTGGTCTTTCATTTTACATATGTTGCACCATGTACTGACAGGATGAAGAAAGTAATTCATGAAGTGATGAGATTTTTATTTTCATTTTTGTTGAAATTTTATTTTTAAATTTATGAAAATTTAACTAAAAACAAACATGATTGTTTCTGACCTGTATATGCAGCCACTGTTGTTACTAAAGGGTAAGAAGACAAGGATGCATTTATGGCCTAGTCAATGCATGACTAATTTTCAATTTATACTACAATAGATACATGCTCCAGTTTTGCAGAGGTTAACTTTTTATTTGTGTTATATTTGTAAATCTGATAGTTATAAAAAATAATTTAAGAATGAAAATTAAGTATGTTGGGAGGTGAGTATATTCTTTTAGATAAATATTTCACTCTCTCTCTAATTGAAGAAACTTATTTTACAAATCTTTTTTCGTGCACATAATCATCTCATCACTCTTGTTATACTACTTTATATATAGTGAAAATATTATACGTTTTTCTATTTTTTTATCATAATGATATTATGGAATGTCTTTTGCTTAAAAATATTTTGCAAGCTCTAATCTGGCCTAATAAATGCTACAATTAGGCAATGCGTATACGTTACATTATCTGTTTGATAATTGAAATATAACTTATTAAAGATAATTATTACTTTATTACATTGTGAGATCAATCTCACAAGAAAGGGCAGACAATACTCTTGGTATGGGATTCATCCAAAAGAGAGGACAAAGCAAATGAAAAATATCTTATGTCATTCTTGAGCTAAGACATTGTACGTTGGTCAGTACAATATTTTTTATTGACTTGTAAAATATTTTATATTTATAACAGGTTTTTACTTTTCAAACAAAAAAAATTGAAAAATTTTTCCTTAAAAATTTTTCAGCTTCACTGAACAAAGCATAGATTTATAAGATTTTACATGTCTAATTTTTATAATTACATTAATTTATTAATTATAATTTAATATACATGTGATAATCTTTTAATTAAATCCATATGTAAAATTAAAAGATGATTTTTAGTTTCTCTGGGCACATATGCTTTTTGACATGCATCAAGTGCAAAACCCGTGAGGAAAAAACTTGAAATATTGTTTATAGTTTTCAAGTTATTACTGTGAAGCCAAATGGTGCAATAGATCTGTTCTTCCTTTAGCATCCAGTTAAAATGTCTACAAGAAGACAAGGATATAATTATGACCTAATCAATGCATAACTAATAACATTAATAGCATAAGATGTAGGTAGAGTTCTCTTAGGATGCATCTCCATGGCCTTTTTCAAAGACTTAAATTTAAATTTCTTTTTTCTTATCAATTAAAAAAATATGATTATATAAAATTAAAATCAAAGAACAAAATCAATACATTAATAAAATGCAAAATATGTGAAGAATTAACAAAAAAATAAAACATATATACACAAATTTTAGTTGACAGTTAGTGTAATATATAGTGAAAGTTTTGGTGTAAATATTTCAGCTAAAATATAGATTACATATAATGTGTGTGTGTATATATTGAGGGAGGGGAGATGGATGATGTTTGCAAAGGGGAGTTTTCATCAACTTTTTTGAATAAGAAATATATTTGAAAAATGTTTAATACAAGAATAAGAGATCTTTGAGCCTTTAAGAAAAGGATTTAGTGAACTT